GGGGAAATTGTGAGTCATCTTGAGTCCACACCTATAGCCTGAAGTTCTAAATGTGAGCTCCAGCTCTTGTGCTACAAAATTGCATGGTTTACCGGTTCAGCCTTCAAGGATAGTGAGGCACACTTTTTCAGTTACTTGTTTTGAAGCATGTGCAGGATATGATCTGCATGGCAAGCATCAATGTGTACTGCCGTGGCTTCCTCAGCTTCATCACAATGGTGGGAACACCCTTTGACTCGCTTGCCAACGTTCTGGCTTCACAGAAGTTAGTGGAAAGCTTCACAGTGAGCTCAGTTTGAAGGTGCAATTCATTTGTGCTTCAAAAACCATGCAGGGATAGAGTGTAGGAATAACACCCAAAGCAACATGGAGACCAGCTGCCAACCAAGGTTTTTGAAAAACAAAATAATTAAAAGTTTAAATTCAGACTGAGACCAAATCCATGCACGGAATGCAATACTAATAAGCCAACACATCAAGGCAACAAGGAAGCCAAAACTTTTAAAAGTAAAAGACAGTAAGAGCAGCTTAGCTTCCACGTACCTAGAATTCCTCCTCCTCCTCCTCCTCCTCCTCCTCCTCCGCCTCCTCCTCTCTTTGGGCTGGGCAGTCTGCTGGCTAGGTCATCCATGCTGCACGTGGGTGTTGTGCAGCTTTAGCATTGGCCTGTGCAATGCAACCCAGCCAGGGGCCGGGGCCAGCAGCATCATCCTTGGACATGCGTCAAGGGAACAGGAGGGAAAGAGGCATTCACGTTTTCTTTGACTGCTTTTCATCCGCAACTATGGAACCTTTGGGATGTCCAGTTTTCTGGCAAACAGATTCTGCAATAAGAGGATCAACAGATCATTCAGGCACTTTTGCGGCCTGTTGCTTTGCAAGTCATTTTTCAAAGAGAATTCCCTCTCTGAAGCTGCCAGAAAGAAAGGGTAGGCATGCCATGCGGAGTTTGGTAAATGTTGACAGCCGAGCATGATTTTCCACCATAAGAAGTTATGCAACTTCTTGATCTTGAACTTCTGAATTATATTAATTGCCCTCAAACTGTGTCTGTCAAGTAACTATCACATTTCTTGA